CTGCTGATCTAGCAGTAGCCTGCAGTGCTGCATTTAACCACTGCGCCACCTTGGCTCTTAAAAGCTGGACATTGAGAAAGAGCAAGAAAAAGAAGGCAGATTATGTAACTGGAGGATGTTACTAAGTGTACTATGGAATATAAAATGAACCAATTAATCATTCTCAAAACAAATAAAGACTATATTGTTCCTTGAAGTAATGATCAGGAAATAAATGTCACATATTTGAGACACGACCAGGTGATCGACTTGGGGGGCGGGTTAAGAATGCTTGGCAAGGTTGTGGAGGTAGAAAAAAAGTAAGTTAGTGAATTCACAGAGCTATTGATGGTTGCTGGAGACAACTCAAGATAAGAATGATTTTCGTTGTAGTTGCTGGGAGGTGAGCTTGACTTGATGCCACCTACAGTAGTGTTTTCAATACTTCCATTGGTATTGTAGGTCCAACAATTGAGTATTTACCTCTTGTCCCTGTCAACTCCAAAAAAGACATTGAGCCTATAGCAGGTAAATGTTTGACTCTTGAAATAAATAATTATTCAATCCTACCCTTAATGACTTCTTTTCTCATATTAAGCAGTAAACAGTTAGCAGCCCTACAACAAAATTAAATGAGTATTTTAATCTCCATATGTGTTCTGCTAAAGCATATTTATTCAGTGCAAACTTTGACTGTGAATGTATGCCTATGTGTTTGTGTATGTTTATCTCCTGGAAATTAACATTAATATAGCCTTAGGCAAAATTAATATTCATTTTATTTGTTTTCATTTTCATAAGACTAAACATATTTTTAAGCCTTGCGTCTCCTAAAAAGTCTAAAGTTATCTGTCAATTAGAGTGCAAATTGAAGAGTGCAAAAGGATCTCTTTCTCACAGCTGATAAAATGAGTATGTGCAAGCTTTTAGTTATATGTGTTGACAAACTGGATTAATTTATAAAGCACAAGTGCCTCGACTCTGTAATATCAAAATAACATTTGTTCTCCCCATGGTTTCTCCATAGGATTATGCTGAAAAGGAGAATACGATAGCCAAGGCTCTGGAAGACCTTAAAGCTAACTTTTATTGTGAACTCTGTGACAAACAATATTACAAACATCAAGAATTTGACAATCACATCAACTCCTACGACCATGCACATAAACAGGTGAGCAATGTGTATGTATTTACTGTTAATAAGACACACATAGTAAGGATGTGTTTTACATTAGGGGGGCATTTTTTTCTGCCCATTTTTTTGTTTAAAGGTTGAATAAAGTTTAGGGGGGAAAAACTATTTGGGTAATAAAAATATTTTGCATCAGGATCATTAAAATTAAAAAAAGGGATTTTTAATCGAGAAATTAAAATGTATGAGCATGCTGATGCACCAGATTAAAATAGTTCCAAAGCGCTAGCAAGTGTCTAGTCAACTCATCTCACCAGTCAAAAGTATTGATTTATTAATAGCATTTACATCATGGCATTTACCTATTGAATAACTGTATCTGTAATGCTCCTTCATTGGGATTAACAATGAAATATGAATTGGATTTGTGCATTCTATTAAGCTCCAATCCTGGTGATCTACAATGGGTGGTGGCACATGCACATTTTTTAGAACAAGGGGAGAATCTAGAGAGTAGGAAAAGGCCAGTGAAGCCTGGGGATTTGGCACTCTGTGTACTGAGGAACCACAAGGCTTCTGTCAATCTCACATGAGCTTCTGAAAAGGGCAGCAGTTCCATGTACTTTTTTATTATTTTGCCTTCCATTATGGGAGGAAAAGGCAATTCTTTTCTGCAGCTGACTTTAGCCAGGTAAGAAATCCACCTAAGTTGGAAGAAGTAAATCCCTATCTAGAATATTATAAAGATAGACATGATTAAGATTGTTGGGTGTTTTAAATTTTTATTTTTAATGATATGCCATGGATTGATCCAAGCTGTTTCTTAGTATCCTTAGTCATCTTTTGTTCTGATGAAAGAAATGTCCTTCTGGGTTCGGCTCCAAGTGGGGAAAAAGACACTGGAAACATGGAGGCTGCTTGGAAAGATGGTTTATTGTTGGACAGGGCCACATGGCTTGAGCCCTAAACAGAAAATGTGATCACATGTGTCAATGTAGGTGGAGAAGAAGAGAAGGGCCGAGGGAGGGGCTTGCTAGGCTTTTTGTAACCTGTTCAGTCCCACCTCTCTGTTTCCTGTTCCTGTGTAAGAAATGTATTCTGATTGGTTGTCAGACTCCCATAGGGCCATGCAGGGGCAACTCTCTGGGCTGTGTTTTGAATCCAGGTTTAGTTGAGTTCTCAGATGCCATGTGGTTAGTTGAGTAAAGGGCCAATATTATCATGCCTTTACTCCCATCCCCCCTGGGGCGGCAATGGAGAAGTCTTTATTATGTAAAAGGGACTAGCTTGGCCTTCTTAATGGCCCATTAACAGTGGGGATGGGCAGGAAGCTACAGGCAACTATTCTGTCTTTTAAAACATGTTTCTTTCTTTTCATATCCAGATAAATATTCTGCCTTTTCAATATTCCCTAGGATATTTCATTTTTCTGGGAGGGGGCTGGATGATAACTTCCCACAGTTCTCCTTCTATTACATGTGTGACTGTATGATTGTATGGGTGTTTGAAAGATTGCATGTGAGTTAAAGCTTGCATAGATATTTATGGTTTCTTTATCTTTCTTCCATTCAGTTCTCCACTAGCCCCTTTAAGCTTAATTTGCATAACAAAAAACTTGTACTTTCTTCTGAAATCCTACCCCTACAAGGCATTTAATCAATCAGACAAGTTGCTCATTCTGCATCCTGCAGAAAGGCAAAAACAAAAAAACAAAAACCGGGGAATATTTTCCCAAAGGGATTTTCTTGGTAAAAAGTGGATTATGGAAGCAGCCAACCAGATTTGCTGCCCCCCTCCCCCCGCCCTGTAGAAGGGTACCACAGAAAGGACTAGAAGAAAACCTTATGGTTGTCCACTGGAGGAAAACAGAAGGGCACCTCCACCACATTATTTATGTATGTATGTGCAAGCTTATATTCCATTAAGCACTAAGGCATAATTAGTTTAGTGGCTTGTAATTATCATGCTGTAGAAAAAGGCCCTGATTGTTTATACGCTTGTGGTAGAGGATTGCTGCCATGTGGTTTATGTTAACCAGGAGGGGAAAGTTCTTTTGAACTGCTTTGCATTTATTTCATCAACTTTGAGATGTGTAGACTACAACTCTCAAAATTTCTCAACCAATACCTCAACCATAGCAGAGAATTCTGGAAAGTGAAGTCCACACATGTAAAGGAAGCTTAGTTTGGGAATGGCCACTGTAAACATTTAACTCTGAACTGAAATGTATAGAAGGGTTTCTTATAAGGATTTATGGTAGAATAGTCATCCCTGAAGGAATGGGGATAGCATAAGGGCAAAGATCAGAAACCAGACAGTGATTTTTTTGTGTCTTTCTGGATGAAGGAGAGATTGTGAGATCACCTACTTGCATTCCAAACAGCTGCTCCTTGTGAGTAAACTGCAGGAACTGATTTTTTTCTATTGACCTTGTGAGTTCAATGACTTGGATTTGGGGTATTTCAACCAAGCTCACAGCCTATACAGCAAGGCAGTGCCCTAACTTTTATGGCAAGAGTATCAGTAAACTGCAAATTAAACATGCATGCATACACACACACACACACACACACAACATTCACTTAACAATTGTGTCACTCAGCAAAAGAAATGTTGGGTTCAATTTCAGACTTAAGTCGGGAACTACCTGTATTTACTACATGGACTTTGACAATTATAATCATAAATGTCCTCCATACCATTACTATGGATAAAAGATTGATATTGCAGCATTGGAAAGATAAATGTACGGCTCGGTTTATTTAATTGTTTGAAGAACTGATTGCATTTTCCACTTTTGAGTGAATTTCCAATAAATATAAACTTTGTATAGACAAAGTATAACGAAATGAACAAAATTATTGAGGATTCTAGAAGGACAACAACAGATTATGAATGGACTATAACAATAAGGGAATTCTCAGAATAGAATAGAATAGAATAGGATAGGATAGGATAGGATAGGATAGGATAGGNCCCTAGTTTGGTTCAGGCTTGAGGCCTACTTTGGTTCAGCCTGCCACCTTAAAATTAATGCTGAATCAGATAGAAGGACCCACATGAAATCTTGGCTAAAATGAGTCAATATAATTATTCGCTGACAAAGTAGGAAACTTGGCTGAGAACAACTTGTTCAGTGATCTTGGACAAAGATAAAAGAGAAGACACTCAGCAATAATTAGAACTAAATGAAGCATCCAAAGTACTTTTTTTAAGGAAGTGAAGATAAGCATGTTTTAGAGAATCTGATACCAAAGAATAATTAACCGATTATTAATTATTAACCAACTAGTCAAGAACATCAGAATAAATGAACATAAGAGATATGCAGACGAAAAGAGGGAAAGGACCCAAGACACACATTGTATAATGAGCTTCAGAGATGGTTTAACTACCATTTATTTAGTAATTAGTACAAATCTTTAGTCCAAATTAAATTGAGGGTACTACTATAACAATGTTATTGGGTGTTTGAGTTGGGGAGTGTTTTTAACCATCTTAAGACAAAGGAAATTTGCAAGGTATAAACATCCTTACCAAAACCCTTGATATCTTTATGTCATTCAATCCTGGGGCAGCCAAGTGAGACTGTTCAGGTTATCTCCCGATGCTTGGAAGCTGTATGGATTTCAATGGGGATGAATTGTCTCCCACTCAATCCTGCTAAGACCAAGTGGCTGTCAGTATTTGAACATCCAGATCTGGAAATATTTCATCTTTGACTTTGGATGGAGTTGTATTTTTCCTTCCAAGTTGGTATGCAATCCATGGGTCTTCCTGGACTCATGGAGCCTGCTTGAAGACCAAGTATCATCTATGGTTAGGAAGGCCTTTGCACAACTACTGGTGCAGCAGTAACAGCCTTTCTTAGCTCAGAAGAAACCCTCTTCAGTCAGTCAGGCATGTCCTACTCATCTTGAAATTTGACTTTTTCAATGGTCTACATAGGGTTGCTCTTGAAGGTTATCCATAAACTTCAACATAATGCAGTGACTAAAGCAATGATGGATGAGCCTTGGTATGAGGCCTAATTATCTGAGGGAACACCTGTACCTCATAGCATCTACCCTGTTGAATCAATCCTATAAGCTTGGTAGGTAGAGGGTTCCTTAATTAAACAATGTTAAGTATTGGGACCATGGAAGCATTCCTTCTCTCTAGCTGTGCCTCTAGCTATGCCTGCCCTCTGGAATGAATTCCCATTCAGATCTGGATGGCCCCCAATTTGCTGCTGTTTAGAAGAGCTGTGGATACCTGACTCTTCACCCAAGCCTTTAGCAAAGGAGAATGATATGCTTGCTTTATTGTACTTGCCATCTTTTATCTTTATGTTTTATGTTGTATTGTTTTTGTTGTAATTTCTTTGATAATTGAGAGTGGACTAAAGTAGTTGGGAGCCAGACAGCACACAAATTTAATAGATGAGGAAAAGTATAAAGGACATTAAAATTCTCAAGCAACAATACCGATACAAAAAGTCACAAGGAAAATTCCTTAATAAAATGACTACTACAGACAAATAGTCCAGGTATTACGCTGCAATTAAACACTGTAATGAAAATGTCAACTTGACAACTAAGAATTCAAAAGAAATACTGATGCCTTCTGAAGGCAATGCAAACATTTGCAATCTTGGTTAAGTAGCAAAGCCAAATTGCCATTCCTGTGCTAAAAGTTTAAGAGCCTATATTCACTTGAAACAGCCACAGGCACAGTGTCATCTGGGCTTAACCAAATTTCAGAGATAGCAGCAAATGAAATAGATTATTCATTTAAATAATCTGATAAAACCAGAGCTTTAATTATGGTGTGGGTGTTCAATAACAAATACTTTAAATAAGCTTTAACAGATTAAATCAAAATAAGATTGAATTGAATTAAAATATTCTGCAGAATAGCAAAGAACTGCTTATCTCCGATATTATTAATCAATAAGTTAACAGGCTAAAATAAGGAATTCCATATTAATTTAAACAAATGTGGTAATAAGCATAAAAGAAAGACCATAGAACTGGCATTGCTTTAATGATATAAAAACT